GGCTCCGGCAGCGCCCGCTCCACCGCCCTGCAGGTGCTGGACCACCAACAACAACATGGGCTTCTGGTGGATCCTGCGCTTCCCCGTCTTCCTGGCCATCCTGGTGAGCCCTCTGCCCACGCAGACCCCCACCCTCATCCGCCAGGGCCCCTGCCTGCCCCTGCCCGCCCCTCACGGCTCTGCTCCATCGCAGATCAACTTCTTCATCTTCATCCGCATCATCCAGATCCTCGTCTCCAAGCTCCGCGCGCACCAGATGCGCTACACGGACTACAAGTTCAGGTGGGTGCTGGCATCGGTGTCCGTGTCCCTGTGTCTGTGCATGTGTGTGTCCGTGTCCGGGTGTCCATGTCTGTGTGTGTCTGTGTGTCTGTCCATGCCTGTGTGTCTGTGTGCCTGTCCATGTCTGTGTATCTGTATCCCTGTGTCTATCTGTCCATGTCTGTGTGTCTGTCCATGTCTCTGTGTCTGTGTCTCCTTGTCTGTGTGTCTGTGTTTGTCTGTGTCTTTATATGTGTCTGTCTGTATCTGTGTCAGTGTCTGTGTGTCCTCGTGTGTCTGTCTGGCCATGTGTGTGTCTGTGTGTCTATGTCTGTGTATCTGTCCATGTCTGTGTGTTCCCCTGTGTCTGTGTCCCCCCATGTCTCTATCTGTGTCCATGTCTGTGTCCGTGTCTGTGTATGTGTGTCTGTCCATGTCTGTGTGTCTGTGTCCCTGTGTCCCTGTGTCTATCTGCCCATGTCTGTGTGTCTGTGTCTGTGTATCTGTGTGTCTGTCCATGTCTGTCCATGTCTGTGTGTCTGTGTCTGTGTGTCCATGTCTGTGTGTGTCTGTGTGTCTGTCCATGTCTGTGTGTCCCCCCGTGTCTGTGTCTCCCCATGTCTGTCTGTGTCCCCATGTCTGTGTATCTGTGTCCCTGTGTCTATCTGTCCATGTCTGTGTGTCTGTCCATGTCTGTGACCCTGTGTCCCTGTGTCTATCTGTCCATGTCTGTGTGTCTGTCCATGTCTGTGTATCTCTGTGTTTGTCCATGTCTGTCCATGTCTGTGTCTGTGTCCCTGTCTATCTGTCCATATCTGTCTGTCTGTCTGTCCATGTCTGTGTCCCCGTGTCTGTCTGTCCATGTCTGTGTATCTGTCCATGTCTGTGTGTCTGTGTCCCCGTGTCTGTCCCCCGCACTGACGCCCTCTCCTCTCCGCAGGCTGGCCAAGTCCACGCTGACGCTGATCCCGCTGCTGGGCATCCACGAGGTGATCTTCGCCTTCGTGACGGACGAGCAGGCCCAGGGCACCCTGCGCTACGTCAAGCTCTTCTTTGACCTCTTCCTCAGCTCCTTCCAGGTGAGCCCAGCCCGGGGGGCTCAGCGGGGACCCTCGGTGTCCCCGGGGCACCCCTCACCCCACTCCTCGCCCCGCACAGGGGATGCTGGTGGCCGTTCTCTACTGCTTCGTCAACAAGGAGGTGAGGGGACGGCGGGATGGGACGGACGGGGGGCGCGGGATGGGGCGCGGGATGGGGCCGGGCTGACA